TCCCCCTCCCCCTCCTCCTCATCTTCGTCCTCCTCCTCCTCCTCGTCCTCCTCCTTCCCCCTCCAACTTATGATGGTGGTGGTGGAAAACGTGCCCATCACAGAGGCCACTCGCCGAAGAATCCCCCGCCGGCCGCAGCCAGCACGACGCGATGCCGGCCGCAAAGGGGCCGCCGCGGGCGGGCGCCGCTCGCGGAGAGGGAGGGCTGCCGGGCGCCATGCGGCGAGGGCGCCGCCGGCCGACGGGGGGGGGGCAGAGGAGGCCTCCCACGTGGGGTGCGCGTGGATGGGGCCGGGAGATCACGTCGTCCCTAGAGGTCCAACGCATTGCAAAAGTCAAGACAGAGGTGTTTCGCTAATTTCGGCCCCTGGGGGCCCTCGCTGGGCCTCGGGACCGTCAAAAAACGACTCGGGATGAAAAACCGGTCCTGGGGAATGGGTCGAGGCTTCCAGGGACCGCGCATTGAAAAAATCACGACATCGGATCTCTGGGTGGATAGGGCTGGGAGATCCCGTCGCCCCCAGACCCCCGACGCCATGATTTTCTCATCACGTCGACCCCCAGAGGTCCCGACCCTTCCCCAGGACGGGCGTTGTACCCCATGAGTCGCGTGCTGACGCTCGCGAGGCCCGGCGAGGGCCCCCCGAGAGGCCGAAGATTCAGAAAAACCTCCCGTCGTGATTTTTGTCATGACTCGAGGGGGTCTGGGTGGGGTGCGAGTGGACGGGGTCGGGAGATCCCGTCGTCCCTGGGGAAGGCCTCCCGTAGCTTCCTGGTGGCCTCCGGGACGGGGGCCCCTCCCTCCCTCCCACCCCGCGCTCGACCCCCGCCCGGTGCTAGATAGCTACGGCCTATATCCTCCAATAGAGGCCTCTCCCCAGTGGGGTCCAAGCAGATGAGGTCGCGCCGGCCGCATCCCAGACCCCCTTGAAGAAAGAAAAAAAATTAGAACGGAAGGCTTTTCTTAATTTTCGGCCCCTGGGGGCCCTCACCGGGCCTCGGGAGCGTCAAAAAACGACTCAGGATGCAAAGCCGGTCATGGGGAAAGGGTCGGGACCTCTGGGGGTCGACGTAATGAAAAAATCATTACGTCGGGGGTCTGGGATCGCCGATGCACCAGCGACGTCGGCGGTGCATCGGAGACGCCGGCGTCGAGAACGCCGGGCTCCTCGTCGAGCCGCATCGCCTATACATCGGCATGCGGCGCGATCCTCCGACCCCATCTACTCGGACCCCATCTGGGAGGCCTCGGGGCAGGGCCCGCTGCTCCGAGGACCCTCGGACCCTGACCCCCTCGCGTCGTGAAAACAAGCACGACCTCATGTTCAGGGGCGGCCAAGAGGGGCGCAAATCATGGCCGGCGGCATGTGCGCGGCCCAGGGGCTGGACCAGGGACGTAATGAAATGAGAAGAGTCGCCATGAAATCTGAAGAACTATCATGGCCCACACCATGATATCGAACCCCCCTGTAGTCTTCACCCCCTCTTGGCCGCCCCCGACATTTTTGGGGGGCCATTTTCGGCTACTGGGGGCCTTCGCATCCTCCCCAGGGGTGAGGAGGAACAGGGACGGGGGGAGGAGCAGGAGGCCAAGGGCGACGCAGAGGAGGGAGGAGAAGAAGGTGGGAGGAGGGACGGATGAGGAAGGGGATGGGGGGGAGGAAGGAGGCGGAGGAAGGGGGGGGAGGAGGGGGGGGACGGGGGAGGGGGGGAAAGGGAGAGAGGGGGGGGGAGGCAGGAGGGGAGGAGGTACGCCCCGCCGAAGCGACGGAGGACGAGGGACCAGGGGCGGCCTGGGACTCCAACTCCAATTCCAACTCTAACTCCTCGTCTGCCTCCTCCAACTGCAACTCCAACTCCAGCTCCACTCCGAAGCCAGCTCCTCCTCCTCCTCCTCCTCAGCCTCCTCCTCCTCATCATCCTCGTCATAAGCATCCCCATCTCCATCGATCCCCATCAAGGATGAGAAGGAGGAGGAGGAGGAGGAGGAGGAGGAGGAGGAGGAGGAGGAGGGGGAGGAGGAGGAGGAGGAGGAGGGGGAGAAGGAGGAGGAGGAGGAGGAGGAGGAGAGGGAAGAAGGCGGCCTGGCGCGCGGCGGTGCCCCCGCTGCTAGAGCTGGAGCCGCCCTCGGAGGAGCCGCCCGCGCCGGCCTCGGCGTCGCCTCGGCAGGCTGCGCCGGCGTCGTCGCTCTCGCCCGCGGGGGGTCGAGGACCGCATGGCGGGACACATCGGGGCCCTGCTCGGCAGGAAGGAGGCGGGACCTCCAGGATGGTCCTCCCCCTCGAGCCTCGATCGTTGATCCTACTCCCTCATCACCTTCGTCTTCCTCCTCCTCCTCCTCCACATCCTCCTCCTCCTCCTCCCCTCCTCCCTCCTCCTCCTCCTACTCCTCCTCTTGCTCGTCCTCCTCCTCATCCCTCCCTCTCCTCCTCCACCTCCTCCTCCGTATTATTAGTACTAGTCTTACGATCGTTACTTTTATTACAAAAGTATAAGTTTTAGTTTTCTGTTTCTTCGTATCATCATTATTATTATTCGTGTTCGTCTTCTTCTTGCACGTCCTCCTCCTCCTCCTCCTCCTGCTGGGCCACTTCAGACCCCCCGACGGAATCGAGCTGAGGGGGGGGCGCCCTGCCGACGCCCATCACCGACGCCTCCGGGGAGCCACTGGCCAAGGCCCCCCCCGTAGGACCCGCCGGTCGTACGATTACAACCAGATGTGTCTGTCGGCTTGCTGGCTACATGTACCGTGTGTTGTACACGTTCGCATCCTGCTAATGTAGATTTGCCACGGCGCTGTCACTGAGAGCTCCATAATCAAACATCCATTTGAAAACTTCCACCATTAAACTCAACGTGCAAATCAACACAAATATAAAGTCCATTTGTCGAAATTGTACACTTGATGTTCAGTGTAACGATCTTCCAAAGAAAGCGCCGTGGGGCCGCGGAAGCTTACCAGGAAAACAAGAAAACATGAAAAAGCATTAAAAAGCCGAGGCTTTCACATGGAAACACAAGAAGAACTGATAAAAAAAAGAAACAAAAGCTGCGGAAAACCTAAGACTGGTAGTGCATTATTTGTTGCGCCAGTACAAACGCTGACAAACAATTGCTCCTTAGTTTTTCTTGTGTTCCTATATTTAAAAAAAAGAAAACACATTGTGTCCTGTTGTTCCTGTTTTCCTTCCACGGCCCCACGCGGCCGCCACTAGGATTCTCTGCAATTGCAAACAATGTGAAAGCCACACCATCAAAATTAATGAAACATGATCGACCCACGAACCCGGACAGGAATCTAGAAATGCAACGCACGGCAGCGTTTTTTCGAAGACACCTGATTGGGCGACGGGCACATGCAATGCTGAGTGTGTCGATCTTGATGTGCCCTGCCGAGGGCTGTGCTGTGCTGCGCCGTGCTGAATGGCGACGTGCCATGCCGCGATTGTGCTCTATAGCGTCGTGGATCGAGTCCTCATTTGCTGCATCCGAGTCCTGACCGTACTGATCTGGATCTTAAGCTCGAGCTGCCTGAACACATAGTAGCTGCCCCAGAGCTAATTGAAAGGGCGATATGCCAGGAGAACGCGCCGCGGAACGTCCCAAGGGACGCGCAAGGCGACGTGCCAGGGGACGTGCCATGGGGTCGCACCGCGGGACGTGCCAAAGGGACGCGCTACGGAGCGTGCCAATGGATGTGCAACGGGATGTGCCAGGGGACGCGCCACGCGACGTGCCACGGGGGACTCACCAAGGGACGCCCCACAGAACGTGCCAAGGAACGTGCCAGGTTGCAATGCTGAGTGTGTCGATCTTGATGTGCCGTGCCGAAGTCTGTGCTGTGTTGCGCCATGCTGAACGGCGATGTGCCATGCCGCGATGGTGCTCTATAGCGTCGTGGATCGAGTCCTCGTTAGCTGCATCCGAGTCCTGACCGAACTGATCTGGATCTTAAGCTCGAGCTGCCTGAACACATAGTAGCTGCCCCAGAGCTAATTGACAGGGGGACATGCCAGGGGGACGCGCCGCGGAACGTCTCAAGGGACGCGCCAAGCGACGTGCCAGGGGACGTGCCATGGGGTCGCACCGCGGGGCGTGCCAAGGGGACGCGCTACGGAACGTGCTGGTGAAAAGCGTTTCGCTCGAGACACCCTGTCAAAATCCTCATGCTAAACATCCGCCTGAGCGACCTGGACACGTGAAAACAAGCGTTTCGCTCAACACATCCTCAACACATTCTCATGCTAGACACTCGCCTGGGCGAACTGGACACGTGAAAACAAGTGGCTCGCTCGTTACATCCTCAACACATCTTCATGTGAGACGTCCACCTGGGCGACCTGGGCACGTGAAAACAAGTGTTTCGCTCGAGACGTTTTCACACCTCCTCATTCTAGACATCCGCCTGGGCGACCTGTACACGTGAAAGCAAAAGTCTCGCTCGAGACATCCTCGACCCATCTTCATGTTAGACATCCGCCTGGGCGACCTGGACACGTGAAAACAAGCGCAGCTCTCGAGACATTCTCAACACATCAACATGCTAGGCATCCGCCTGGGCAACCTGGACACGTGCAAACAAGCATCTCGATCGAGACTTCCTCAACACATCCTCATGCTTGACATCCGCCTGGGCGACGAGGACTCGTGAAGCCAAGCGTCTCGCTCGAGACATCTTCAACAAATCCTGGCGCTAGACCTCAGCCTGGGCAACCTGGAGGCGTGAAACCAACCGTCTCGCTCGAGACATCCTCAAGACCTGGGCACGTGAAAACAAGCATTTCGCTTGAGAGATCATCTGAATTCTGGCCCCCAGGAGAGGACAACCTATAACACAAAACAAGCGGTTCGCTCGAGACATCCTCAACAAATTCTGAAAAAAACACTTGTTTCGCTCGAGACATCTTCAAAAACGATTTTGTCGGCCCTACGCAACCTCGTTATCTATCACAAGATAATTTCGCAAGCCCTACAGCCGTCAGAACCAGGGGTAAACATACTAGAAGAGAACCCTGCGCCTAAGCCCTTTTCAAGGAGAAGCCTTTGCAACCAAAATCAATGTTTAATCCACACAAGCAAATTCAATGTGTAAACCCGCTCACATGGGATCCATGAGAAATCCATTTACACGTTGGTTTTGATTGTAATGAACTTCCAGAGGCAGACCCGTGGGGCCGCGGAAGCTTACCAGGAAAATAAGAAAAACAGGAATACCTGCAAAAACATGAATATTCGAATGCAAAGACAAGGAAAACTGAGAAAAAGTTGGTGCAAACCTATGACCGTTAGTGTTTTCAATATTAAAAATGTGTTGCACCAATAAGAACGCTAACAGTCACACACAAAACGTATACGTTTTCACATGGAAAAAAATAGCCCGGCGAAGGACCCAACCATATGCAGTTGTGAATGCCGCAATTGTGCTGGGTGGTGGCGGACGCATGCGGGCGGCGCCACTGAGACCTTCGGTGGAGCTCCCTATGGGGCCACGAAACGCTGTACTGGGCGGGCGAGACGCGGTCAGCAAGGGCTGTGCTGCGTGGTGGCGGACGCATGCGAGCGGTGCCACTGGGACCTTCGGTGGAGCTCCCTATGGGGCCACGAAACGCTGTACTGGGTGGGTGAAACGCAGGCAGGGAGCAAGGGCTGTGCAGGGTGGTGGCGGACGCATGCGGGCGGTGCCGCTGGGACCTTTGGTGGAGCTCCCTATAGGGCTACGAAGCGCTGTTCTGGGTGGGTGAAGCGCAGGGAACAAGGGCTGTGCTGGGTGGTGGCGGACGCAAGCGGGCAGTGCCACTGGGACCTTTGGTGGAGCCCCCTATGGGGCCACGAAACGTGCGAGGGGTGTGCCAGAATGGGGTGTGGAACCGCATGCCAGCGCAGCCACTGGGGCCTTCGGTGGAGCTCCCTATGGAGCCACGAAGCGTGTGAGGGGTGTGCCGAAAGGGGGGGTGGAACCGCATGCGAGCGCAGCCACTGCGGCGTTCGGTGGAGCTCCCTATGGGGCCACGAGACGTGTGAAGGGCGTGCCGAAAAAAGGGGGTGGAACCGCATGCGAGCGCAGCCACTTGGGCCTTCGGTGGAGCTCCCTATGGGGCCACGAAACGTGTGAGGGGTGTGCCGAAATGGGGGGCGGGAACCACATGCGAGCGCAGCCACTGGGGCGTTCGGTGGAGCTCCCCTTGGAGCCACCCACGAAGCGTGTGAGGGGTGTGCCGAAATGGGGGGTGGA